CCAATGCTGTCTTGGAAACCTTACCCTGAAGAACGAGTCTTCCCCACCCTGCAATTTAGGGAATACAGGCATGCAGTGTGCAAACAAGCTGATGAGAGGTTGGCTGTGCAGTCACAGAGCTGTCTTTGCATTTCTGGACAAATGCAAAGGTGTTTTTAACACAGATCCTTTGGAGAATTTCAAATTCATGCTGATTTTTGTTTCTTTAGGTCTTCTCCATTGTTAATCCTTTCACCTTACCACCAATTCCTGCAACTGCACTTGAAACAGTTCAGTTTCCTTGACCAGCTAGCTAAGTGAAAATCCCAGAGGATGCCTGTTTATGTGCCTAAGCAGAAAAACACCTTTTAAAGTCAGGTTTGCTGTCACTCAGAAACACAAGCTGGGGACTGGGACTGTTTGAAGTAGCTCCAGAATGACCAGATCCACAAACTAGCAGCTGGGCCTACAGCACATCCAAGGGGAAAACAGATGGCAACTGATTGAGTTTATTTTGTTACATACTGTGGTTTATGACGTGAGTTTTCAGGCACCTGAGCTTAATCGTGCCAAGGGGATGAACGCCCCCTACTTCAGCAGATGTTAAAGGTGCTCATTTCCAGTACTGGTCCATTACAGAAAAAGCTGGGGAGATGGGGGCGGGGGGGTTGTGAGAGAAGGACTGAAACCCAAAATGTAGGGAAGATTCTTGACAAAGTCTTTATTTAACACTTACTGGCTACTTTCCCAGGAAGGTCTGGAGTTATTTAATTAAATATCAATATTTCTGTAAACATGAGGGGGAAAGCTAAGTCTGAAAAAAGACATCCAAGCCACCAAAGAGCTGGGATTGGGATCCTCAGTCCACACCAAACATTGGCAGTCAGGCTGGTGATGCTACTAGAATATGATTAAGAATTTCAACATCTTTCTTAAGGCTTCCTCACAATGCCCATCGTTCTCCCCTTCGTTCTCCAAGGGTGCAGCCAGCCCTCTCAGCACATACCTCCACGCTCCTTACCTCAGTGGTCTACGTGCCGAGTTGTTTCCTCATTCTTATTTCTCTTGGACTCTAAATGTTTCTTCTGGTCTCACAAGGCCTCCAATGTCTTTTATTTCACAGCAGGATGTTAAGGAACCTTTCTTTATGCCAGTGTTTGTATGTGGGCAATGAATCAAGAGATGACTAGAATCCTGACCTATAAACAAAGTCAACAGAGATCAGGCTGAGGCCAGCCCCTACAAAATGACTCTGCAGATTCTAGCCTGTCCCGATCATAACCTGCCCTAGAGGTTATCTTAAAGGATTTTGGGATCTAGGCCATGATAGTATTCATGGTCTTCTGACTCATTATTTTATACATACTCTAGAGCAAGTGAAAGAAGATCTGACTAGCTGGGAGAGGACTTCCAACCTGTACACAGCACTGAAATGTGAAAACAATCAAAATGTACTGAAGCTTAATCCTTGTATCACACAATTTTTGTGATACATAATTAGAGCAAAATGTTCTGTGAACAAAAAGGCCTCAATTACAATTTCTGCAATTCAGGAGAAGGGAAAGAAGAGCACAAAACTGCATATTATAGATTCCCGGAACCAATTCCCACACATGGGGAATACTCACTATTTTCTCACGCAGCCAGCTGTGCCTAGTAGGCTCTTCCAGCCAAACTCCTGCTGACTGAGACCGAGATATCCATTTCTCACTGCTCCATGTTTCAGGGCCAGCCAGGATTTGCAGAAATCTGTTCCATTATTCCCACAATCAAACACATAATGACAAGCAAATCCCACCGTATTCAGTGTGTAACCTGCTAAATCAGTAAGACTGGGTTTAAGCTCTATCTTTGGAATATGACTTTAGAAGCAGAAGAAATGTCACCTAGAAGACGTACACATTTCCCTGGACTCAGCTAAGGTGCAGGATTCTCCAGGGCCATCCAGAGATTTGTGCACATCTTTCAGGATAGTAGTATTTTTTTTTTTGGCTCTAGCTTCCCAGGTAGTGTCTACATATCATTTCCCTATATAAGCCTTTTATTTTAATTTTTATATCCCAGTGTCTTAGGACTTCTGGAAGGATAACTTTCTTCTTGACTGGCTGTGGTTCAAATCAACAGATTTGTGATGCCACTGAACTTTCTGTGATTTTTTTCTACACAAAAAAGGTCAAACTTACAGAAAAACTGGAAGTATGCCTGTTGAAAATCTGTACAGTAGGTACCTTTATGACAGATTCTTGGAAAATAACTATTGATTATTGTTGACATTACTTTTAATTCCCACAGATGATATCTGGATCTTTTCTCCAACTGAACAGGAATTAAAACAGTATGATCCAAGTAGCAAAATACCATTCAAAACAAGTAAGAATCTCATACAGAGCTCTATATATTAGACTGTTGGGTTATTATGCTCTGCCAAATGTCTAAAGAATGTACCGTGCTACTTAATACATACTGCATTAAGGAGAAGTGCAAAAATAAAAGACACAAGGTTCGTGTCCTGCCCTTTTAATCTTTATTTTAAAATTTTCATTCTTTGGATAATGTTTAAAATCCTACAGATTTTTAATGTGAGAAAAGAGACACCAGACAAGATAAAAAATATATTTTCTTCTGTCTTCTCAGGAATATGAAATCTTGTTTTTACTTTTTTCTTGTTTCTGTTAATTCTAGGCTGACTCAGGATATGGCTACAGTGCAGTATCAGCTGTGACTGCAGTACAGAGTAGAGATACTGGAGCTCTCTTTAAACGGGCTAGTACAGGTGCCTGTAACGGTGTAGTCAGGGCAGCACAGAGATCTGAGTGGCCTAATTACTCTGCCGAGAAAAAAATGGATACTGGGAATACTCAGGGGGGAAAGATGGTTGAATTGTTAATATAAAGAGTTTTCCCCTAAGGCATGTTACTTTAGCAGGTGTTAACAAGAGCCAAAAATCCTGAACTCCAGTGTTAGAATAAAATGCCTTTGTCCTTTGCCTCTTCTGATGTCCCAGTCCTTCCAATTCTCCTGCAGTCTGTAGAGACATAAGAGAGACAGGATTTTAGTATCTGATGGGAAACCTAAAATAAAGCAAAAACAACCCCCTCCCCCACTAAAACCTATACATAAGGTCTCAGTATAAAGACAAAAATGAAAGTGTCTCTTGCCTGGAAATGCACAGAGCTCTAACGCTGCTAATGGCAGGATGGAGACACTCAGTGGAAAGGCTAGCGCTCAGTACTTGCATAAGACAGAGGTCCATGTTGGTCCCCTGCCCTCCAGGAGGGGCATGTTTAGATGGGATGCTTGCTGTGCATCTAAAAATGGCAGAATGAGAGCTCAGTAACTTACTAGTCTCTCAGGGCTCACCTGAGGTTTTGGTCACTGGCCATGCTCCCCAAACTGCTTCACCCACTCCATTGGGATTTTGCTAGCTTCTAGATGGGCGTCTCTCCCCTTTCCTTAACCCTCCTAGAACACAAGCTCCAACACAGCCTACTTCAACACAAGCGCTCCAGAAAGGAAGAAGGATTCCCTGCTGGCCACCTTGGCTAGCATCGTTACAGAAGAGCAACCAGAACTTGGTTCTCTGGCATTCTGGGCACAGGCCCAGTTCTCACACTCCCCACCAGAGGGACCGCTGTCTGGAGTGTGTGAAGATGCAAGACTTGCACTCATGGAACTTTTTGAATAAGAAATCTGTTTCAAGGTTCCTGAATACTGGGTTTATATCTATATTTTTATATTTACTTATATATGTATATATTTAATGAGGAAGAGCAAGGAGAAGAAACAAATAAGAGAAAGATTTAGGGTAAGAGAATTTACTCGGGTTATCTCTTCTCCCACTAACCTTTCCTCATACATGAGAGTATACAGGGTTTATAATTTTTTAGCATAAAGACATACACAGCATGTGCCCTTGGCAGCTGATACATGGCTGGAACATCACCCCAGTGGCTCAGCCTGCCAATCTGAATGTATCTTTCAACAGTATGTGTTCCTATGCAGTGTCTGATTTTATGCACTACCGTGTGGTACTCACTTCATGGGCAAGTATACAGGAAAGCGAAGGGGCAATTGTACTAATTTGTTCATTTCTAGTTCTTGCAAGCTCAAACCATCTGATCACGTGCCACAGCACTTTTCTGAAGACAGAGCCCAAGACTTTACTAAAATGACACATCTAATTTCTTTACTTAACAAGTTGGATCTGTTTGTTTGGATTTCTAAGCTAACGAGCAAAATCTACATTACTTGGCTTAAACTCCCTTTGAGCTCAATGTGAATTTAACTAGTTTAAGGACTGAGGTGTAAAGCCATTCAAGAAAACATTATTGTTTCTGCAGGTGAAGACCTTTGTGAGTTCTGCCTAATCAGAATCTGCAGGCTTGTGTCAGCTCTGACAAAATGCTGTTTGCAACAGCCATGCATGGCACTTGCTCTATTTTGAGGAGGGAGAAAGCTAGAAAATTATGAGTTTGTCATCTCATTATAAGGGCCAGTAAGTGAATGGCGCATAGAGGGCTGAAAGGTGTAATTTTATCAGATTAATTTAAATGTGCAAAAAACAAGCCAAACCAGCCAAACAAAAAAAACCAGGATGCTACTCAAATCCAAGCTATTTTTCATTTCCAAATGTTCATGCGCTACAACTCAAACTTACACACCCTGCTTAGACCTAACCAAACTGATTCCACTTTTCTATACAGGCAAAGAAGCAATAGAGGTGAAAATCCCACAGAGTCACCAGGATGTGATGCCCAACGATGAGCAGTAATTACTGCAGCAACACTTCAGCCAGCATGAGTGTCAATGAAATGTCTGCCTTCCCTCTGACTTTAGAGCAAAAAACTGGCTTTGCCTTTGTGGGGATTTTATGTGTTTTCTTGGGACTTCTAATAATCAGATGCTTCAAAATCTTGCTAGACCCTTACAGTAGCATGCCTTCTTCTACGTGGGAAGATGAAGTTGAGGGGTTGGATAAAGGGACATTTGAATATGCTCTTGCATGAAAACTCACCAGAATATCCTGCCTTAAATTTGATGTTGATTTCATTTTGGAAACCAACTGTTGCTACATTTGTTATACATACCTACATTTTGCAGATATGCTGGTGGCATTCATTTTGTTAAATAAATATTTGTTGCAAACTCAAAAGGCACTTCAGGTTGCTTTTCTTTGAGGAATAGAGGAATGGCTGATAAGAAACAGATAATGGCAAAGAAATACTTCAATTAGCAATTCACTAGCAAGTTAACATGGTAGAAAGAATCTGATCATATTTGTCTCTTCATAGGAGGAGCCCTTTTCTACCTTGTCTCATGATGGGCAGGACAGAAAAGGGAAAGGTGAAGGACAAAAGGCAGGGACAGTAGATGCATAAATAGTCACTCCTTCCTTCTTACCTGACACTATTTTTTGAAGCTCAGAAGCTGTGCTTGGATATTGAGAATACAAGACTGGAGGACAACAAATGGTCATGGCTCAGGGGAAGTGCCTGCAAGGAGCAGTCTACTTGTGTGCATCCATGTTGCTGAGATAGGAGGGACAAAGGTAGGTTCACGCACTATCAAAATTTAAGAACTAAAGAGAAAGCTAACAAATCACATCAACTCACCAATCACTCCCCACCTTCCAAGAACAGCAGCTGCTGGCTGTACTTGCAAGGACAGTGTATGTTGCTTCTCCTATGTGAAACGTTTCTGCGGTCCTCTGCAAACAATGAATAGCGCTATTCCTTACTGCTGGTCTGAGAATTTTTTTTTTTTATGCAGAACAGGTCTCCCTTCTCCTGCTCTACAGTGACAGAAGGTCAGGCAGAAATAGTGGAAGGGAAATAAACTTCATTACAGATATTTTGAATTCTATAAACATTCAGCAATACAGACCGTATTACCTGCTCAAAACTGCAGTCTGAACAAAGAACACCACAGTACCACAAAGTGACCAGTCTTCTGGTCTAACTGAACTGAGCAAGGCATGCCACCTTCCCACTCCTCACAGTTCCAGGGGATAATTCAGTTTAAACTGGAACTTAAACTACTGCAGTTTTAGCTGCAACACATTCTGGCTGGTTAACAGCTCCCAACAGAAATTACACCAGCTTGGCATGGACAATCAAAGCGGAGACAGTCATGCTACATACCCATTTGAGCCCAGCCCCTTAAAGGACTGGGGTCCAGAGCTGGCTGAAGATCTCTGCGCCCTCCAGCTCCTCTCCACAGCTGTTCATTCTCCCTGCGCTCCTGCATCCTTGCATGGTCCAGACTGTCACTCTGAGAACCTGGTCATAAGAGATCCTATCAGGACAGAAGAACTAATAGTGAAAGCAGAGACTAAAAAGTAGTTGTTCAAGGTCACCTTCATGTACACAGCTGTTTAGCAAGTGTGACAGTACTTGACAGAAATTCAATTTAGTTTCTGAGAAAGCTGGCACCAGAATTTTAAGCACTGTCACTTTTGCTAAACAACCCTGCAACTAGGTGCAAAGACAAGGAGATCAGTTACTGCAGTTGGTTGCATTTGCACGTATTCTGAAAAATATATATTGTCCCTTTTACCCTGTCTGGCTAGACAGGGGCAGCCAATGGAACGCTGGACCTCAAATGCCATTTGGAACATGAAATACTGGATCGTACAAGGAAGCACATGAATCTTCTGCCTGAAGTCTGTGGGAGAGGAACAGCCAACAACAATCACACTGCTCCATCTAAAGTTTATAACATAAACAATTGTGTGAATATAAGAGCTTTTCAATTGCTTCAGATTCTGTGTAAGAAAAATTGCCAGACCCTAGGAGATTTAGTCTATTGCATTTATCCTAGTTAAATTTAACCATAAAATCAAAGGCAGATTTTCATACGCTGATTCACCTGATCCAATCCACTACTGCTGGATAGGACCATCCGCTGCCAAAGTCTGACTTTTTTTTTTTTTTTTAATGAACACCTAATTGTGTACACACTACAAACATCTCTTGGCATGTAAGTCATCTCCCCAGTTACTCTTCCAGGTTCTGCAGCCTGTGCTAAGCTCTGTGCTGCCAGGGTAGAGCGCTGAAGGTACTTAAGTTATCTCGGTTAAATACAGTTCGGGTATCTCTAAACTACACTGCAAACAAGGTAGACATAGCCAAAGAAATCAAAACGCTGTTATATTTCTTTCATTCTTGACCCAAGCTATTGTTGGAAGCAATTATCAAATTTCCTTTTTGATTACAAAGCTTCATAATTTCCTGCCTGCCCCTCTCTGCACCCCCGAAAGACAAAGGAGGCCCAGAAGGACTGCACGAAACACAAATTTTCAAACATTTTCCATAAATATGCATAGTAAAACTTTGAACAGGGTTAGGAGCAAATGGTTCAAAAACACATGCGGGAGAAGGGGACCTACCCTGGTTCTTAAAGAGAACCCAGCCACCCAACAGTGGGTCTTAGAGAGTACACGAGGGATTCCACTGATCCTCACTGGAATCGCTTCTGCGCAGAGTGGAAACTGGAACAGAAATAAACTCTTGTTATGTCCATTATTAAATATGAAGAACTGAAAATAGAGAGATGATGATCCGTGCACAGAATCAGGATAGCTGAGAGGGAAATGGAGGTAATGAAAGCGTTTTTGCGCCCCCTTGGAAATTTTGCAATACCATAAACCCTGTAACTGTGATGGACAGGAACTTAATTTTTTCATTGATTTTCATGGAATGTAATGTAATATTCATCTTGAGCACGTAGAACAGAACTCAGGAAACTGTATTCAAGTATGACTTTCTAAAAGCAAATTTCTAATACTAGATTTGCAGATGCTTCAATTCAAGTGAGGGAGAACCCAGCCACTCCTTACCTTTCTTCTACCACCCCACCCTTCTGAAACTCCTTTCCTGTAAATGTTTTTTAAATAAAATGAAAGCAAAAAAATAGATTTCTCTGATCTTAGAAGAAATAAAGGACATACTGATACCTTGGTGCATGTGAACAGATCTGCAATTGTTGGCTAGATCTGTTATACCAGCTCAGGGGTGCCTACACATATATTTTATGAATAGGAAGAAAGAAACTAAATAAACCCATGAAAGAACAGCTTTACTTCTTCCAAGAATTAATAGGTACATTTCCTGGTTAATAATTAACAAGCTAGAATGTTTCTCTAAATCACCATCTAGAAATGTTTTAAAATGTGTTTCAAAGAGAGGGATTGGATGGTTTATTTGGTATATTAAAGAGGAGAAAGGTCTGGCCAGTAAGACAGAGTCTGTAATGCCTCAAAGAGAGGGACGCACTACATACATGAATAAAAGTAAGAAAGAGGCAGATTATCCTTCCTTAGAAACGCAGGACTGAGTGGTAAGTTGAACTATCCTGAATAAGGTAAACTTGCTAATTTATGCATAATGCTAGCATAAGAAATGCAAAATTAATGGCAAATAACAGTTGAGACCCCCCCTGGAAATACACCGTGACAAACAAAATAATATTTGAAGAACAGCAGCAAGGTAAGAGACTTTTTTTTTCTTAGCAAAGTAGTAATACTATGGAAATAAAGGAAGACAGTGAAATTACAGAATCATTTTACCTGGTGGCAAAAGTCTCATTGTCATCAAAGATTCAGAATTTCTTTCAGTCATGGAGAGATGAAAACAAACCTAGTTTCACTGACTTCAATGACAAAAGATTTGGTTTTGCTCCTTTCATGCCTGGAGTGGTTTTGCGCCTTCATGCCTGGAGATGAAACACTTCCTGACAATCTTAAAAGGCTGAGGGAAGCAGAATGCTATATATGATCAGAAATGTGTAATAATAACAATAATATGAATCATCCAAAACAGTACGAAGTAAAAGAAATTAAAAAAAAAGTAACACGTTGCTGTGAAGATACAAAACTTTAAGCAGGAAAACCAACATCATGCGTTATGAATACGACGGGGTTATAAATATAAAGTAGCATCGTTACAGAGAGGTTACAGTAGAATATCATCTACTGTAGATGGACTAAGTCAGTAAATAAGCTTTAGCTGTATCTCATACTGAAGTTGGAGGACATTTGATTATCAGCTCTCCAAATTATAATTTTGAAATGTGTTTTTAGACAGTATTTACATTGCCCAGGTATAAATATAGATACAGTACGTATCTTTCAGTGCCAAAGAGCCAAATGCATTTCACAGAATCAGAAAAATTAAAATTTAAAGAAATCTCTGGTGGTCATCTAGTCTAACCTCCCGCTGAAAGCACAAAATTCTGAAATATTTATTCTAGTGGGCTTATTTACCCAAATTTTCAGTTCATATATTCCTTTATATAGATATATTTGGTTTCCAAAACTTTCTATTATATACACTTATAAACTTTCAGTGTCTAGGCATGCTCCGTTTTAGCCAGTTAGAACAGGCCTGAGCTTCCACTGAAATACACAGATCTACACAATCACACTCCTTCTTTAACTTCCTAAAATAATTTTTCAAGACATATAGAATGGCACTGCTTATATCACTTCAATGGATCACAAATAATATGTAGTGCACTCCATTTCAGAGCTCTCTGGGCCATCCTGCAAGTTGCTACAAAGTACTTAACCCATTAAGGCCTTAAATGTAAATACTCCTCTTGCTCTTGGGGATTTTTGTTTGTCCAGTTTTTGAGAGGTCTGCGTGGGAAAGCAGAGGTAGGAAGCAGATCGCATAGCTATCGTGTTCACCTCTGTATGGGCTGCCATTCAGAGAAATCTAGACAGGCTAGAGGACTGGGTCAACACGAACCTTATGACATTCAACAAGAACAAATGCAAATCCTGCACCTAGGACAAACCAGTCTTCTGCAGCCACGCAGGCTGGGGCTTCACTGCCTGGGAGCAGCTCTGCTGGAAAGGTCCTGGTAAGCAGCAGGCTAAAGAGGAGTCAGCAGCATACCCTAGGAGTGAAGGTGAGCAGTGTCCTGGACTGTATTAACAGCACAGCCAGCACAGCAAGCAAAGTGGTTATTCCCCTTTACTCAGCACTCATTAAGCTGCATCAATTTGTAATTTTATCCCCCGCCCATATGAGAAAGATGCTAACAAACTTGAGCAAGTTTTTGGAGGGCAACCAGGATGGTCAGGACTGGAACACTTGCCCCATGAGGCTGAGGGAACTGGGCTTGTTTCGCTGAGAAAAAATAAAAAGGCTTTGGGGGACCTAAGCAACCCTCCATTACCCACAGGGAAGTTACAGACAAGGTAGAGCCAGACTCTTTATTCTGGTGCACAGCAGAAGAGTGAGAGATAATGGTCGCAGAGAGAAACAGGGGAGGTTCCAACTAGATATAAGGGGGAAAAATCAGTATGAGGACAATTAAGTATCAGAACAGGCTGCCCAGGCAGGTTGTGGAATCTGCCCTAACCGGTCAAAGCCCTAAGCGACCTGGTTTGCATTCAATGTTGACGCCACTTTGAGCAGAAGGTTGGACTAGATAAGGTCCCAAGGCCCCTTTCAACCTGAGTGATGACCATGACTTCCTTCTATTTCTTTCAAATTGTCTTGAAGGATATTTTGAGGGCACAAGTGTAGAATTGAGTGTCAAATTCTATGAACCTTCTGTCCTAAGACTGTTGTTAATATGTCTCAGTAATTTACCATAGTCATTTGGACACATTCATTTATTTCATCTATTACAGTTCAGCAAACACAATGCTGTCTTTGGATATGTTTCAGTTGCCTATTTGTTCCTTCTTATGACATTAATTGTATTTACATCGAAAATGAAAAATTTGCTATGCTTTAATTGCCTGCTCATGAATTGTCTACCATCCTGCAACTATTGAAAACTTTAACGTCTGTAGTTAACTTCCAAAACCACATTTGATTCAAACTTCTCTTACCAATTTGCTGCTAGGCTATGGGAGAAATAGACATAGTATCATAATACTTCCATGCAACATAAACAGTAAATGGTCTTTGTGGAGTCTGTGTTGCATCCCTTGTATTGTATCGTCTACACTTTCACTGGCTTCAATTAAACATTGCATAATTAGGAGAAATGTGACATTTGATATATAGTCTTAGGAGCTTGGAATCTAATCCAAAGCCCATTTTTAATGGATGGAAAAATCCCCACAGAGTCAGTCTTTGATTCATCAGTCGTTTATTCAACAAATCATAAGATGACTATCTCGTGGTGATTTGGCAGCGGGGTTTACCGTGGAAAATGTACATAACTGTACGAGCTAATAGAAATGTTTTATTTATATTTTTGATAGCACAACCACAGAGGACAACTGTAGGAAGACTGCTTAGGGGTTTCAAGAAAAAATTCTGAGAACTTTGATACTCTGAGAGCAAAGATTTCAGACGCAACAGCATTAGACCCCTTTGCTATAGCTAGAGTAGCACTAGATGCAGCCACAGAAGAGTAAAAGGATCGGTAACCTAAGCCCATAACATCCCTGAAGATGTCAATGAATAATTCTCCAAATGTATTCTTGGATCCAAATGCAAATCGGTTTCAAGTGAACATAATTAATGAAAGCCATGACAACAATGAAACATCCCAAGAGGATGTGGGCTCTGACCCACCACATTACGAAGAAACATCTTTTACTGATGAAGCCCATAACAGACTGAAAATCAGCTACAGACCAGGAAAGAGAGAATTATATGACAATTTCCTTCAAAACGGGGAGAAAACAGAAGCTAATTTACATCCCTATGACACTCACAGTAACATGTATTATCTACAAACTTTTGGCCATAACACCGTGGACCCAGTTCCTAAAATTGATTATTATAGAAACACTGGCAGCGTCAGTGGGAATAAGCTCAACAGACCAAGCTTATTAGAAATTCATGAACAACTGGTAAAGGTAAGTGAAAAGGAAAGATACAAATTTTCTTTATTACATTTCCAGGCTGTTAATTCTGTTTATTAATATGAGGAAGTCCTTAAATTCATAGACCTTGCCAAAGAGAAAAAGTACAGCTTATCACTTACCATATTTCCTTTGCTAGCTGCAGTATATTCTCTGCCCTGTACCCTGCTTAAACAAAGATTACTGTTAAAGGCTGACAAAAATGTACTTGATTAGCAGAGAAACATGGCTTAATCCCGTCTAAACATATAAAACTGCTAAATTTCTTCTGTTTCACTTACAGTTAGGATGGCAGATGATGAATATCAATTCACAATTTAACCAAATTATGCAATTCATATTTATTCTAAATTTGAATCTAGCAGCAATTCTTAACCAAGTTTCAGAGATTCTTCTGCTGTATTCATTAAAATATATATCCACAGCTATTATAAAAAAAAGTGTTGTAATGTGTGATAGATGCAATTTCAACTAGTCAGAAATCCAAAGCACTACCTA